CGAACCCTAAACCCCATTACAACAACCCCATATCTCACTTTGCTGAGTCATTGGAGAACAATTTAGTTCTATAAGCTTCATCTGTAGAAGTCACGTACGTACTCATTAACTTGTGTCAATATTACTTATGACCTCGATGGTATAGTGGTTAACACACCGTCTTACTTCCGATGGTCGCGGGTTCGATTCCTCTCAGGGTGTATTTGTATTCATGAGTATGATTGTTTGTATCGGTCTGGGTATTTTTTATACTTTAATTTATATTTATGTTTAAGTAATAATAGTCTTACTAAAATTATTATTATTATTATTATTTTATTATATTTATTGTATATAAGGTGTCCGCTGAAAACCAGCGTCGTGGCACCCTGTCACGACATATGCTGAGCGGAGACCTAGTTGGTACTCTAATTATTAATATAAAATGTAAATTTAATTTAAAAAATTATTTTCAGTGTACCAATTAAACAATTTTCTTTCTTTCTTTCTTTCAAAATTATAAACGCGAAAGTTTGTGAGTATAGATGATGGATGTTTGTTAGTCTTTCACGCAAAAGCTACAGAACGGATTTTGATGAAACTGTACAGTAATATAGCTTATTCATCAGAATAACTAGGCTATAAATTTCACGCGGACCAAAACGCGGGCACAGCTAGTGTATAGAAACCTTCTTTAAGCGTTGAGCTTGAGCTTTCTTTTGGCATGAGATTATGTTATGTATATATATTTCGAAAAATAAATGTGTATGTTTATTTGTATCAGTTATTTAATGCCCATAACACCTGCTTAGCTTGGGACTAGACGGCGCTGTGATCTTATTGTTATACTAGCTGTTCACCACGACTTCGTCCGCGTGGAATTTAACTTTATTTTTCTAAAATAAAAGTAGCCTAAATTACTCCTTATTACATCAGCTACCTGCCAAATGAAAGTTCCGTTAAAATCGGTCCAGCCATTTCAGAGATTAGCCGGAACAAACAGACAGACAGACAAAAATTGTAAAAAAAAAAATTTTGGTATATGTACCGTATTTATATTCATATGCATGTAGTAAAAAACAGTTATTTCAATATTACAAACAGACACTCCAATTTTATTTATATATATAAATGTCCCTATAAAAGAACCATAATAATTAAATTATCAGTTCAAATATTTTTACACAGCACGTCCTGCCACAATATGAACTTTATACCGGCCATATAAAGTTTATATTCGCACAATGAACCATAATCCCCCAATAATAGAGTACATAAAACGTTTTATGGCTGTTCGATAGAGTGTGGCGTGAGGGGATGCTTCTAACAAGTTTTATGTCTGATTTGTTACTAGTCAATTTGTGTTCTCGATAACATTCACTAAAACTAACATACAATACTGATGATGCCCTAATTTGTCCTATACATCCTTTCGCAAAGGCTTTGTACATAATAGTATTACCACTCATTATCAGTGCGTATTATAAAACAAAGTCGCTGTCGATATCCGTCTCTATATATGCTTAAATTTATATATGTTTAAACTTGAGTACATTGTTTGTTTTATATAATTTGGGGGAAGATATCTATGGTAATTATAAAGTAAATATATATATGGGTACTACAGTAATAAAGTAGTTGTTGTTCACACTCGCGGTGTTTCATTACATTCACTATAGGAAAGTTTATTTTAGGAAGATTAATGGTGTAATTTTACATGTTACTTGTTATGTTAAATTGTCCAATGCCAATTAATAATCTTCGCCAATAGTATTATTAGATTCAATTCTTTCATTATCCAATTTTAACATGTAGGTTGTATTGGGAAGTTTCAGAAATGATACGTCGATGCAGCAGTACTTTTATTTTATTCCTTTTTCAAATTACACTCCACATAAATTACGTCGCTGTACATTCACGTGTGGTAGTCTCGGTCGCCTCGAACAGACTGAGAGCAGCCCGCTCTCTCCTTGTTCCCGGCCTCTTTATCTCTATTCCTATTGGTGGCGGCATCGTCGTGACGTCACCAACATCACGTGACTCGCTATGGTTCCAAATTTGAAATGTAAGTAACAAACTAGTCAACTAAAGATTAACGGTGTAATTTTACATGTTACTTGTTATATTAAATTGTCCAATGCTATTAATACACTTCGCCAATTACGTATTACTAGATTAAATTTTTCATTATCCAATTTTAACAAATCGTGTACAAAAAGTAACGTGATAGTGTTTCAGTTGTAGGTATAAAGTACAAGCAAATAGAATAACATACCCACAAGTAGCGATGTATCCACAGAACACACAAATAAAGTACAGTTACCGTTAAAGAATAAAACATGTACACACGTGCGCAGAAGGGGCGAGTATCTAGTTATATTTTAAAATTTACACGCCTGTATGCAGGCTGAATATACTGAACATTATATTTAATATTGTATACACCTATAAGTACTGTATTCTGCGAATAAATGATTTAATTTGATTTGATATAAAATCTCATCTAGATATAGAATAGAATAGAATAGAAAATCATTTATTCAAATAAACTTACATTGAAGCACTTTTGAATAGTCATTACATTTTTTTTAATCTACCGCTCGGAAAGCTGTCTCATCACAAGAAGAACGAGTAAGAAACTTGCGTGTTGCTCTTCTAAATAATTTTGGTATTACTTTACATTTTTAAGTTTAAGTGTGTAATACAAACCACCAATTAGCACTAATTCAATTAAATACCCAAATAGAAAAAATATTGAATATATTAACAACTGGTTAACAAATTAATAAGAGGATATCAATCATAGTGATTAGAGCAGACCAGTCCCTACAAGCAGCACCCGTTCACGAGTATGACGGATGAGCTAGCCATCACTGCGCTCGACCATATTTTGGGAGCCCAATGACCCGGCCGACCACGCCGCCACAAGTCTGGACATTTTAGTGAGCATGACTACTCAAAACACCAGACCACGTCAAAGTTACTTATAATTGCCATCTGATAGTTATAGTATTCGCATTTTACATAAGAATGCATGCGGCAATCAATACAAAAACCGCTACGCTTTCATATTTCTAAAATAATTAAATCAAGAAAGCAAGGAGAAAAATAAATTATAACGTTGTATGCTAATAAACTAATTATTTACTTGATATGTTGTCATCTATGAATTCGTCTATCCTGTAATAGGCTTTCTTACACAAAAATTGTTTAATATAAGATTTGAATTGCCTCTCTGTCAGATTTAGTGGCAGCTTCTGGCAGTTTATTATAAAATCTTACGCAATTGCCGTAGAATGAATTACTGATTTTGTGCAGACGGCATTTAGGTAAAATTAGCTATATATGATTACATACATTGTTTTTGTAGTCGATAATTTTGTCCCATCCCTACTGCACTATGCAACAGTCAGTGCAGTGTTCAGGTGCAATGTAGTGGTACAGTCGGTACGTTCGTTTCAACAAAGACGAGGTGCTGTCTAAAGCAATTTACACTCAATAAAACGTTTCAAATTGAATCAGCTGAACGCGTAGCCATTCTGAGTATAAATGAGTTACCGTCCGCCCCCAGCCTCCGGGCGTAGCCCCTTGGAGTCTAAAACGATGGCACCCAAATGCATCTAATGCACTCTGTTAATTGCTCGAATGATCGTGAAGCTGCATGAAGGGTATGCACTATGCTATGCTAAAGATAGACCTATGTCTATCTTTATGTTTGTCAACTACACTTAATACTAGCAGTACTCGTGACTTCGTCCGCGTGAAATTTGACTTTATTTTTCTAAAATAAATTATTTTTTTTAAAATTAAAGTAGCCTAAGTTACTCCTTATTACATCAGCTGCCAAAAAAAAGTCCCGCCAAAATCGGTCGAGCCATTTCAGAGATTGGCCGGAACAAACAGGCAGACAGACAAAAATTGTAAAAAATGTTATTTTGGTGTATGTACCGTATCTTCATATGCATGTACTACATGCATATGTATATAATAAAAACAGTTATTTCAATATTACAAACAGACACTTCAATTTTATCTATATGTACCGATTATAAAACTGAAGAGTTTGTTTGTTTTGAACGCGATAATCTCAGGAACTACTGGTTCGAATTGAAAAAATATTTTTGTGTTGGATAGTCCATTTTTCGAGGAAAGCTTTAAGCTATATAACATTACGGTAAGACCAATAGGAGCGGATCTGCAATGAAAAATATTGCAAAAGGTGGGGAAAAAAAACTGCAGACGAAGTTGCACAGGTCAGCTAGTATAAAATAATATTAAATATACAGTTTGCCTACCGTAAAACATGTTTTATACAACATCTTGGTTTACGAGCTGTCTTTCAGTGTGAGAAGTTGACGTATAGCTGTAAAATTTCAGCTTGAATAGAGCAAAGAACAGGCATAAAAACTTAGTCTTAAGAGTATGTATAAAGTTAGTTCCGTCGTTTGGGAGTTAGGGCTACATGTACAATTGGTTCAAAAATATTTATTAACCCAATTCCAAAAGTTAATTCAATTACATATTACCAGCAACCGGAAATCTTGGTTTTCAGAGAATTTCAGAGATTAGCCGGAACAAACAGACAGACAGACAGACAAAAATTGTAATAAATGTTATTTTGGTGTATTTATATTCATGTGCGTGTAGTAAAAAATGGTTATTTCAATATTACAAACAGACACTCCAATTTTATTTACATATATAGATATAGGTATGTATATATTTATGTAATTTATGATTGTATATCAGAGTATATATTGTGTTTTGATTTCTGTATATATTTTATTGCATTTTGTTCATCATTTAGTATATTTGCAGCACCAACAATTATTCTCTGTTTATATAAATAAAAACAAATAAGAACAATATAAGTCTACGCTCGGGGCGAACAGACGTGTCATTAGCAATACCGAAATTTAAAATTAAAATTTATAACTGTTTACTTAATAAATTTAGAATCTAAGGAAGAAAAATTATTACAAGTCCAAAATAATAGTGAAAGCTTAAGTATACAGTGAAAATACTACTATGTCGCTACAGAGAACTCCCACGAAATGTTCATCGAACCCAGACTTAACTACAGAAAATATGCAGAGATATCCATCACGAAAAAGAAAACAACCGGAAGATTCTGCATGCGAACAAATAGAAAAACTCTCAGAAAGACTTTTTGAGAAGATCAACTCATGGAAAGCTGATATAGATAGAGGGATTTCAAGTATTAATAGCAAAATAGATACAGTGATAAGATGTGAACTGGACACATTATCTACACGTACATTGGATATGCAGGAGGAATTAAATAAACTGCGCAAAAACTACGACAAACTCGAGTCAACAATCTCCAATTTACAGGTACGCCAAACTGAAGTAGTCAAAGATATTCTAGATTTAAAGAATAGTATGGAATTTCAATCTAGTTCTCACTCTGATTTACAAAAAAGCATATGTGATTTGGAATCTACAAATAAAATCCTGCTTACAACTGACAACAAGGTACAGAATTTAAATACACAGGTTGATCAACTAAAAGGTGAATTAAATATATACCATCAAAGGGAAAGGATTCATAACTTAGAAATTATCGGCGTGCCTGAAGCTAAAAATGAATGCCTAATAGATCTCACTATTAAAATTGCACATCACGCAGGCGTTGTCATCACCAGAGATTGCATAGAACATGGAAATCGCATTCAACCAAGACAAATCATTCAAGGGCGACCCAGGGTAATTGTAATAAAATTAAAATCTCGGCTGCATAAAGACAACATCATCTCTGGTTTACGAAAATGTCATGGAATAAAGACCAAGGATGTGGGTATTCCAGGCGAAGATCGTCGGATCTACGTCAACGAACATCTGACCAGTAATAATAAATTACTACTTAAAAAGGTAAAAGATATAGCTAAAACAAAATTATTTAAATATGTGTGGGTAAAAAACTGTCAGATTTTCGTGAGACGAAACGAAACTTCACCAGCTATTTTAATAAAAAACGATTGCGACATATCAAAAATCCGTTAGAAACATTTTTGTTACTGCTTTGTATTACAACTTCTTTATTTTTCTACCAAAAACAACAGTGTATCTGTTTTTCAGTCACGAAGGTTCATGTCATCATTAATACTATATTAATACAATATCTCGAAACGCTAACTGTCAGTCTACATCTTGTTCTATTCATACTATTTTCTACAAGACTATTAATCCACACAAACTACAAACATATACAAACACACACACATTACAATACATTTATCACACTACAATTCTATTTCTCTTGTTTATTTTTGGAGTACGTTATTGAAAACACAATAATAAATACAACATTCGTAAAACTAATTCATTCTAAAAACTCTGCCCTAATACTGGAGTATAATCTAATATATCTTAATATTATTATCAGCTTTTAAAACCTACATAAAGTACACTATATTTTATCTTATGGTTAGTGAAATAATTATTTTAAACTGTGCTGTTGTACATTTAACTTTGGTGAATCGATCGTGCTATTCCACTCGTATAATACAAATGAGCGTGAGTCGACACTAAAAAACGCTTGTCTACCCGACATTGACAGCAATATTATAAACACCGCCAAAATTATTCTTTTATTTAACATAATATATATATCCGCGCGCATTAATTATAACAAGTTTGATATTAAGTGTATAAAAATGAATAAAATATGCAATGGTATTGACTTAGGGAATTGTTTTATATTGCAGTATGGTTATGCAAATAAAAACAGTATTTTAGATAATTACGTTTCGTATCAGGTATTAAGCATAACTACGATGGTAATTATTGTTTGTACAATTCAGTGACTTAAATTATTTAAAAATTTATTATCAAAATGCGCGCGGTTTACGCACTAAAACGTCAGATTTTTTTCGAAATATTTTAACAAATAATTATGATATCATTATCATAACGGAAACCTGGTTATGTGACGGAATTTTTAATGCAGAACTTTGTGACGACCGTTATGATGTATATCGGTGTGATCGGAATCGCACACTTACGGGTAAAGCCACTGGCGGGGGAGTCATGATCTGTACTATGCGTAACTTGTGTGCCATTCCGCGTCCCGAGTGGTCTATCTCACCTACAGAGTCAGTTTGGTTGACGATACCCTCTCGAAGTATTGTTTATGACAATTGTCACACATCATTTAACTTGCACATAGGAGGAACATATATCCCGGGTGGCCTCCCGAATCAATCTCGTGATATTGATAATATTCTACATACAGTAAACAATCTTTGTACAAATTTTAGTAATGACCGAGTGTTATTGGTAGGGGATTTTAATTTGTCAAATATTGAATGGCACTGCGACGGACCTTCTTTTTTAAAAAAAGGTGCTATTGAAATTCAAGAAGTAGGTATTAAATTAATAAACGAAACGACATTGTGTGGTCTCAAACAACACAATATCATTAGCAATTCTCATGGCAATGTATTGGATCTGGTATTTTCTAACTTTTGTATTGAAATAGAAAAATGTGATTATCCTTTAGTACGAGAAGATACATTTCACCCAGTCCTACACATTGATAGTCTCGATCTTGTAACAAAATCCTTTAAAGAAAATATTTTACCCAAGTATAAATTTTTTAAGGGTGATTACGAAAAAATTAATTTCTCTTTATCAGATAAAGATTGGAATAGTATTTTGAAAAATGGTACCGTTGAAGAGGCTACTCGCATTTTTACGATATAATCTATGAAAATATTAATAAATTTATCCCAACATATACTAAAAACAACAATCGGTATCCTATATGGTACAACAAATCTCTGATACATATTTTAAAGGATAAAACAAAGGTGCACAAGCGATGGAAGAAAACCAATAACTTAAGAGATTATGACGAATTCTCATTGCTTAGAAAAAGGTTTCACTTAAAAGAGAAGGAATGTTTAAATAATTACATTAATTTAATACAGGAACAAATCATAGAAAACCCAAAAAAACTATGGTCTTATATTAAATCAAAAAGATTAAATGATTCGTATCCACAAACTTTTAACTCGATCTCTGGTACTTACTCAGATGGTGAATCTATTCTAAATGGATTTAATAACTTCTTTCACAGTGTTTTTATTAACCAACCAACCCAAACCAATAGTATAAATAATGATTTACCTTCACCTCTATGTGGAGACACAGGATATATCCAATCTGTGCAGGTAACCGAGGCTGAAGTTTTTTATCTTATATCTAAATTAGATACTAGAAAAGGCGCAGGTAGCGATGGGGTTCATCCATACTTCATTGTAAAGTGTGCAAAATCACTGACACGGCCGCTTACCATTATTTATAATAGGTCATTAAGTGAGGGTTCATTTCCTTCAATTTGGAAGCAAGCACTTATTGTTCCAATCCACAAAAAGGGTGCCAGGACCAGGATTGAAAACTACAGACCTATATCCATCTTAAATGCTTTTAGCAAAGTGGCAGAAAAAATTGTATATGCGGCAATCTATCCCACTATCAGTAACAGCATCACAGATAACCAACATGGTTTTCTAAAATCTAAATCGACCATTACTAATTTGGCTATTTTTTCATCTTATGTGTTAAACAATATGGAGAGAGGGGGACAGGTGGATGTAATTTATACAGACTTTGAAAAAGCTTTCGATCGCGTACATCATGAAACTTTATTAAAAAAATTAAATATATTGGGTATAAATGGGGATCTCCTTCGATGGGTAATTTCCTATTTGTCGAACAGGTCTCAGGCTGTTGTAATAGGTGGTTTTCGATCTAATTTTGTTGACGTTCCCTCCGGAGTTCCCCAGGGATCGCATTTAGGGCCTCTGTTTTATAATGCTTATCTTTATGATATTTACTTAAGCTTTGCTGATACGGAATATTTATTATATGCCGATGATAAAAAAATTTACCGTGTTATAAGCAGTGTCTCTGATTGTTACAAATTACAAAATGACTTAAATTCTTTGAGTAATTATTACAAAAAAAATAATATTACTGTAAGTCATGATAAATGTCAAATTATCAGTTTTACAAGACGTAAAACTCCTTTAATATTTACATATACCTATATATATTTACATATACGTGATCTTGGTATATATTTTGACAGCAAATTTTTAATGGACAAACATATAGACATTGTTGTAGCTAAGGCGCTCAAGAGCTTAGGTTTTGTGAAGCGTGTATGCCGATATTTTAAAAACATACAATGCCTGAAATCTGTATATTTTGCATATGTACGTAGTACACTAGAGTATGCGAGTTGCATATGGTCACCACAGTATCAAATTTATAAAGACCGCATGGAGCAGGTACAATGGCGATTTATTAAATACCTTAACTTTAAACAAAAGACTTTCACAAATTATGAGGAAGGATGTAAAAGTTATAAATTATTAACATTAGACTTGCGTCGTAAACTTTTGGATGCCTCTTTTCTATATGATATTATCATGGGAAACATTGATAGCCCACGGATCCTCAATACTATTGCATTCTCTGTTCCCCGCCGTCGTGTACGTGGAACACCATTATTCTCGGTACCGCTTGCCCACACTAACTATGCTAAAAATTCTATATTTTCTCGTATAATGTCGACGTATAATAAATACTTTAAAGACGTAGACCCCTTTAGATATTATTCTAAAAACACATATAAAACGAAACTCATTCATATTCTGAATCACAACTTATAGTTATCTTCATACACTTTAATTATACACATGCACACACTTTCTTTCTTACAGAAACACACACACACAAGTGACTAATAATATAAATAAATAGTATCTAATTCAGATACTATTATAATATTTGTAATTCTTAAAGTTATTCTTAAAATTGTTCTATTAGTTTTATATATTGTGAAATTTATAATATTTGATTTGTACTTTTAAATTAATCCTTATTCTGTTTGCCACGTTCTGTTTTATTTTCTTTTGCTAATTCACTGAAAACCTGTTATTGGCTTTCTCAAGATATGTACTGTTGATTAATGTATTAGATTGTAAGCTGTTGGTTTTCTAATAAATAAATAAATAAATAAATAAATATATTGTGTCCATTGCAGTTAAATAAATAAATAAATAATATATATATAATAATAAATTTTATTAATTTAAAAACAGACTTAAAAACACAGGTCAATAAATTCAAATTCAAATTCAAAATATCTTTATTCATGTAGGTCTTTTACAGACTCTTATGATATGACAAATCTACCGTCAGTTCCTAATGATTTCGAGATGCGAGGAACTGACAAGAAACTCAGCTCGTATTTTTTTTTAATGTTGTACATATTTACCTATAATACTATTTCATTTAAATTCAAATTTGGGAGAATAGAGTGACCACCAGCATATGCTATATAAAAAAATCAAAAAATCTAATCAGTGTTCGCATAATAAGGTCAAAACAGACAGATAATCCATATTTACAATGTTAGTATGAATTTCGTGGAAACTCTCTAGAAGATACTGGCTTTACCCTCATCACACAGACCAGTATAATCTCATATTCCAGTCATATTTGACATCCTTTTCGCACATACCGACTATCGTATTTCTATCTCTCTCATGCTGAGGACATGATTAAGTGAGTTAATTATAGCGTACCTACTCTCATTTAACGGTAACCCTTCATTACATAATTAACGTCAGATTTAACCCTTAACCGGCGGACTTTTTTTTATTTATTTATTTATATACACACTATCCTTTTTATACTGTGTACGTTGCAAAATAGTGCCAAAACTGGCCGTAGAATTCGTTACAACTTGGATAATCTATACCAAAATATTTAACACTAGCTGTGCCCACGACTTCGTTTGCGTGGTTATCAGAAGAAAGAAAGAAAGAAAAAATATTTATTTAGTGCTTTTCAACAATGTTACAATATAAAAAACAAACACGAAATGACAGATAAAAAATTGTAAATAATATTATTTTGGTGTATGCACCGTATTTATATTCATATGCATGTAGTAAGAAACGGTTATTTCAATATTACAAACGGACACTCCAAATTTA